CTACGGAGCCCAGGCGCCAAAGCGCTAGCGGTGATATGCGCCGGTTGACCTTTCTTCCCGAAAGTTGACATGTTGCTGCGAAATGCTGCGAAATGATGCGACATGCTGCGAAATGTTGCGAAACGCTGCGAAATGTTACGAAATGCTGCGAAATGTTGCGAAACGCTGCGAAATGTTACGAAATGCTGCGAAATATTCGAAATCATGTGCGCAATATGCAAAAGCGATTGATTTTTCATTTTTTATATTAAACATGATAGAATATTACAAAGTTGTGCGCGCCGAATGTGATGTTAGTTAAAGTCGTCCTGAAGCTATCATGGTCGGTGTTCGGGCGGCGTTCGGGCGGCGGTCGCGCGGGTCGCGGCGGTCGGGCGGCGGTCGGGCGGCGGTCGGGCGGCGGCGGTCGGGCGACGGTCGGGCGGCGGTCGCGCGGGTCGCGGCGGTCGGGCGGCGTTCGGGCGACGTTCGCGGCGGTCGCGGCGTTTGCGCGGCGGCCTTGGGCGCGAATTGTTGCAAGCATGTTGTAAATTCACGCAAAGAAACATTATTTTTCTCACGCTTGCATTCGAAAAGTTTTAAAAAACCATATCATATTATTAAAACTTATGTAATTGGCACAGTTTAAATGAATTTTCTCATCATGTAAGCTATTAAAACTATATTATAACCAGTTTAAGTCATTTTTCGCAGGAAAGCTACTAAATTTATGCAAATTGATACATTTTAATGGATTTCTCAAATTTGTCGGTGGTTTCGCGAATCCAAACACCCACGCCCGAAAAAAGGTCAGAGCGCGCGGGAGCAACGTCTCAGAGAGCCTCAAACTCCTAAGTGCGCGGCCGCATCTAACAGCCGCTGCTGAGATGCACTTGGGCTGTTAAACGCAGTGCGCGGTCGGCACGCGCACGGCGCGCCCGCGCCCTGACGGTTGGCTGTGCTAGCTCGCGTGAGTTGTGGGCCGCTTGCGTACGGCCAAGTGCATTCCCTTGCAAGGTCAAGCTTACCCGCGCTGGGTGATCAGCGCTGCCACGTGGCCATCAGACCATCAAAGCAAATGGTGCGCGGTCGCAACAGGCACCGTGTCCTAAGCCCTCAACACCCTAAACCCTGAACAGCCTAAACCCTAAACATCCTAAACCCTAAACACCCTAAACCCTAAACACACGAAGCCCTAAACACCCTAAGTCCTGAACACCATAAGCCCTAACCGCCCTAAACCCTAAACACCCTAAACCCTGAACGCCCTAAACCCTGAACACCATAAACCCTAAACACCCTAAACCCTAAACACCCTAAACCCTGAACACCATAAACCCTAAACACCATAAACCCTGCACACCCTAAACCTTGAACACCCTAAACCCTAAGCACCCTAAACCCTAAACGCCCTACACCCTAAACACACTAATCCCTAAACGCCCTAAACATCATAAACCCTAAACACCATAAACCCTAAACACCCTAAAGCCGAAACACCCTCAACCCTAAACACAATCAACCCTAAACATCCTAAGCCCTAAACACACTAAACACTAACCACCATAAACCCCAACCACCCTAAACCCTAAACACCCTACATAAGCCATAAACACCCTACACCCTGACCACCCTAAACCCTAACCACCCCAAACCCAAAACATCATAAACCCTAATAAACACCCTAAGCCCTAAACAGCAGAAACCCTAAACAACATACACCCGAAACACCATAAACCCTAAACACCATAAACCATAAACACCCTAAACCATAAACCCCTAAACCCTAAAAGCCCTAGACCGTAAACACTCTAACTCATAAACACCATAAACCTTGACCATCATAAACCCTAACCACCCTAAATCCTAAACACCCTAAACCCTGATAACCATAAACCTCAACACCCTAAACCCTGAACACCATAATTCCGAAACGCCCTAAACCATAAACACCCTAAGCCCTAAACACCAGAAATCCTAAAAACACCATAAACCTTGAACACCCTAAACCATAAACACCCTAAACCCTAAACACCATAAACCCTAAACGCCCTAATCACCCTAAACCCTAAGCACCCTAAACCCTAACCACCCTAAACACTAAACACCTTAAACCCTGAACACCATACACCCTAGACACTCGCAGCCCTAAACACCCTAAACCCTAAGCACCCCACACCGTAAGCACCAGAAACCCTAAACACCCGAAACCTTAAACACCCTAAACCCTAAACACCCTAAACCCTAAACACCCTAAACCATGACCACCCTCAACCATACACACCCTAAACCCTCAGCACCCTAAACACGAACCACCCTAAACCCTAACCACCCTAGACCCTGAACACACTAAACCCTAACCACCCCAAAAGCCCTAACAACCCTCAACCTTAAACACCCTAAACCCTAACAGCCTAAGCCCTAAACACCCCAAACCCTAAGCACCCTACACCTTCCTCACCCTAAACCCTAACCACCCTAAACCCGAAGCACTAAACCACAAACACCATAAACCCTAATCACCCAAAGCCCTAAACATCATAAACCCTAAACACCCTAAACCTTAATCACCCTAAACCTTACACCCTAAACCCTAAGCACCATTAACCCTAAACACCCGAAACCCTAAACACCATAAACCCTAAACACCCTAAACCCCAAACACCATAAACCTTAACCACCCTAAACCCTAAACACCCTGAACCCTAAACACCATAAGTCATAAACATCCTAACACTAAACACCTTAAAACATATACACCCTAAACCATAAACATCATAAACACTAAACACCCTAAACCCTAAACACCCTACACCCGAAACACCATAAGCCCTAACCACCATAAACCCTACACACACTAAACCTTAAACATCATAAGCCATAAACACCCTAAACCCTAAACACCCTGAACCGTAAACACCCTAAACCCTAAGCACCCTAAACCCTAAGCACCCGAAACCCTAAACACCATAAACCCTAAACACCCTAAACCCTAAACACCCTAAACCCTACACACTGCACACCCTAAACACCATAAGCCCTAAACACCATCAACACGAAACACCCTAAACCCTAAACACAGTGAACCCCACACAACCGAAACCCTAAGCACCCTAAAACCTAAACACCAGAAACCCTAACCACCCTAAACCCTAAGCACCATAAACCCTAAACACCATAAACTTGAACCACCCTAAAAAACTAACCACCCTAAACCCTAACCACCCTACACCCTAACCACCCTAAACCCGAAACACCCTAAACCCTAAACACCCTAAACCCTATACACCCTAAACCCTAAACGCCCTATACTTGCACCACCCTAAACCCTAACCGCCCTAAACCCCAAACACCCTAAACCCTAAACACCCTAAACCCTAAACACCCTAAACCCTAAACGCCCTAAACCCTCAACACCCTAGGGTTTAGGGTTTAGGGTCTAGGGTTTGGGGTTTAGGGTTTAGGGTTTAGGGTTTAGGGTTTAGGGTTTAGGGTTTAGGGTTTAGGGTTTAGGGTTAGGGTTTAGGGTTTAGGGTTTAGGGTTTAGGGTTTAGGGTTTAGGGTTTAGGGTTTAGGGTTTAGGGTTTAGGGTTTAGGGTTTAGGGTTTAGGGTTTAGGGTTTAGGGTTTAGGGTTTAGGGTTTAGGGTTTAGGGTTTAGGGTTTAGGGTTTGGGGTTTAGGGTTTAGGGGGCTGCCGGAGGCCAAGACAGCCCGCTGCACTTAAGGGGCCCTTAAGTGCAGCGGATCTGCTCCTCCTTCGGAGGGGCTCCCGGAGGCCAAGACAGCCCGCTGCACTTAAGGGGCCCTTAAGTGCAGCGGATCTGCTCCTCCTTCGGGGGGGCTCCCGGAGGCCAAGGCAGCCCGCTGTGCTTCAGGGGCTCTTAAGTGCAGCGGATCTGCTCCTCCTTCGGGGGGGCTCCCGGAGGCCAAGACAGCCCGCTGCACTTAAGGGGCCCTTGAGTGCAGCGGATCTGCTCCTCTTTCGGGGGGGCTCCCGGAGGCCAAGACAGCCCGCTGCACTTAAGGGGCCCTTAAGTGCAGCAGCGGGTCTGCTCCTCCTTTGGGGGGGGGGGGGCTCCCGGAGGCCAAGACAGCCCGCTGCACTTAAGGGGCCCTTAAGTGCAGCGGATCTGCTCCTAAGCACCCTAAACCTCAAACACCCTAAACCCTACACACCCTAAACCCTAAACACCCTAAACCCTAAACACCCTAAACCCTTAAGCACCCTAAACCTAATCACCCTAAGCCCTAAACACCCTAAACCCTAAACACCCTAAACCAATCGTGCACAGACCCCAGCGTTGTAGCCTGTTTCAGTTCAATATGTTGGTACATGCTACAGGTGCTACCCTTTGTCTGGAGACAACGCCAGCAAAACAACTCACAACAATTTCATCACGCGCGCAAAGCTGCGCGATACGGCGTCGCAAACAAGAGAGAAAATTTGACGCCAGCACAAAACCCAGCACAAACATCCTTGAAACATCCATTGCCCAGAGGCGACGCCCACGTGATATTTGCGCCCGGCGCCCCCTCCCACGCAATGGCCGCAATGGGCCCCAACCCCGTGAAGAGCTGCGTCACAATGGTTGTTCTGGCTCAAGTGGCGCTTTCACACCCCACCGATGAAGCGCAAAAGTTTACGACCCGATGGGGATATCGGGATCACCTTGGGCGTAGGGCCAACCAGTTGCTGCAATGATCCAGTGGCCAGCTGGCAAAGGCCCGGGGCGTCCTGCGTTGAAGAGACCTTCCGCTGGCCAGACAAGTTCTTGCATCGTCTTCCGGGGCGGGCGCTCGAGTTGCTTTCAGAGAAAGTGGCGCAGGGTTTTTTGTATACAGAGGATTATGCTGGGTGGGGATCAGGCTCCACAGCAGTGCATCACTTACTGAAGGGGCTGCGACGTTTCAAGCCAGAGGTTCACCCAGGCCGGATTTCGTGCGAACGAGCCTGTGACATCGAGGCTCATTGCAGGAAGGCGCTCCTTGCTCACTGCCCGGGCAGCGCCCCAGCGTGCGTCATGGGGGACATGTTAGACCGCACGCCGCCCGAGCTGCTGAGGAGGATGACGGAGGCCGCGGACCGATCGTCATCAGAGGCTGCCGAGAGGACCAAGTCTGGCGAACTGGCCAAGGACGTGTACAATGAAGTCGGTACGGCTTTGATCGAAGAGGTGACGCGTTGTCACCTTTCATTGTTCCCCTAGTGGTGTCGTGATGTCTGATGCCCTCCCTAATAGAATTCATCCTCCCTTGCTTGATCCTTCCTTTGCAACAAACTCAAACATGATGCGTGGCATGCGTGTCTGTTCGAGCCACGTGCCCCGTGCCCCGCCCTCCCAGGTGAAACAGTTCATGCTGGCGGACGTCGGCGCCATCCAGCTGAACCAGTACAAGGCATACTGCTATAGGCATAAGTGCGATTGCAGGGTGCATCCTTCGTCAGGTTCGCATTTGATTGGGCATTTCGCTGGTTTCTCGTGCACCACAGTGTCTTTCATTGGATTGAAAAAAGGTTGGAGCGGGAGCAGTGCATGTTGCTTCATGCAGTGGGCGCGGGACTTTTTGATTTCTTCCCCTGATTGGGCAATTTGCGAGTGCACGATTGGATTTGACCATCATACATTAGCGGCAATAGTTGGAACAACTCACGATGTTTATCCAATTGTTGTTAGCCCACACCAGTTGGGCATCCCAGTCTCTAGGATTCGCAAGTACATGATCATTTTGAAACGCTCATCTCTGCGATGGATTCCAAAGGTCGAGGAAGACCCCGCTGCATCATTCCTGGAATTGTTCGGCGCAACGCCCGCCTGTTTAGGCCAAGTGTATTTTCGGGCGCCGCACAGCAAAGTAAACGCATTCTTGGCAACCTTAGCGCTGGAGCGCGGACTGCCAGCAACTCGGGCAGGTGGCTTACAGTGGCACAATCGGCAGCTGCTCGGAGTAGGGAAGCGGTTTCGCCTCGAGTCATATGAGTCTGCAATTCGCAAGCGGGGCCTTCTGCCTCATCGGACCCCGTATCTTTGTAATTTGTCCCAGAATGCCCACTGGTTTGGCGGAACCCCGCGCTACGTCCCCGCTTTGATGCAGCGTTCGAATTTGTGGTCCATGAGCTTGTCCCGCGAACAGTTGCCAGAGGAAGCAGTAGAAGCGCAAGGCATGGCTTTGTTCAGTAGTGCAGATGCTTCATACCAATGTCCCTTCAAAGAAGCCGTGCTCAGAGATGAATTTCGACCGCGTCAGTTAAGGAGTATGGGAGGGAATTCAATGCACGTAGCAGCGGTTGGAGCATGCGTTTGTTTCCTCTTGGCATTCACTGAGAGGGCCCAGTAAGCCGCAGCTCACTTGAAGTTTAGTTTCGCAGCTTCCGCTTCTGAAAAGTAAAGACCCAACCATAGCTAATGGCATGGGCCCCGATTGGTATGTCGACCCTGTTAGAATAAAACGTAACCTCGCGACTCGCGCCCTGTCAACCCCGCCTTGTTCCCCAGATTAGCCCGCTGGATCTTGCCGGCCACGGTGCCCTCGGAGTCTCGTGTCTCTCGGATGCCCTATCCAACCAGTCTAAACTGTAAGCCCTCATCTAGGTATCATGCCCAGGATGCGCCCAGGATTGTTGGCGTCAATTGGCTTCTGTCACGCACGCCTAGGCTTCAATGCAGGTGTTAGTCAAGACCTGGGACCCCCACCACCCTCCATCCCATTAACATCGTCATCATCATGACCATCGCCGCCATCACCTTACAGCTCACGATCACCATCATCATCATCATCATCGGCATCATCATCCAAGATACGTAGCCGTCGTTTGGCTTAGCGGCTGCCCTCTGGCAGCTGAGGTTCGGAGCACGTTGGCACCTGGCCACGCCTCCCCGCGGCTCCTCGACGCCTCGATGGAGGGGCAAGCGCCCTCATTTGTGCAACCGCGGCCGAAAAGCTCGGCAGGTGTCGGCCGCCTGCCTCGCGCGTCAAGGCCAAAGCTCTTCCTCGAGAACTCTGATTTGCCTGATGATGCGCCTGCTGAGGTCCCCCACGAGCCAGGAGCGGCTGGGGACGGGCATGGCGTTGGGCATGATGAAGCCGGGGGCGGCGGCCGAGGCAAGGGCGGCCGTAAGGGCGGCAAGGGGAAGGGGCGACGTAAGTCAAAGGTGTCGAGGAACGGTGACGATGATGACGCTGGCCAGGGTGACGCTGACGGCGAGGACGGTGGCAAGACCAAGGCTTGCGGGTCGTGCAAGAAAGAGAAGAGCATCAAGGAGTTCTACGAGAGTCAGAACGACTGCAAGGTTTGCCGCAAAGAGGACCGTCAAATGATGGGAATGGCTGAGAGGCAAGGTCTCACTTCCTGGTTGAAGGATTTGAAGAACAAGAAGCCGGCCGAGTACGCGAAGCTCAAGAAGGTTGTCATGAAGGTGGTCCCGAACGCCCAGGGCCGAAGGGAGTTTAACCTTGTCCAGTACAAGGAGGAGATGTATACCAGGGCAGAGGTCGAGTCGAACAAAATGGGCAAAATGATGTGGGAAGGTGAGTACCGCGAATTTGCCCAGAGTGCAGAGGGAGGGTTTCTGACCAAAGACGAGTACGAGGCACAATGGAAGAAGTGGATGGAAGATCCGGATCACCCCAAAGACGAAGACGGGCCTCGAGGCTACACGCAGTGTTTGGTCAAGAAGGGCAAGTACATCAGTGACAAGGAGGCGATGGGCAAGAAGAAATCGGTCGAGGCTTCTGGGAAGGCGATCAAGAAGTGTGACGAAGCCACGGCGAAGAGCTTGATGAACCAAGCGACTGGCGGCATGGACGTGGAAGACAACCTCCTCAACTTCGGCCAGGACGAGAAGTCCAAAGCCTTGAAGGCAATGATGACGTCAGCGTCCTCATCATCTGGAACTGTAACCGCACTTGGGGCCGAAGGTATGATGGCACCATCTCTACAGAATCTTCATGACCAGGTCAAGGGGAAGAAGAAGGCCGCCGCACATGATGATACCGAGGACTGCAGTGACGAGGAGAAGACTTCGAATCGAACTTCGAAGGCCGACGAGTCCAACCAGGGCAAAGGCATAACCCCGAAGAAGGTTTCCGCAGAGGAGTGGCTCAACGGCACTGGGCCTCAGAAGATCAACAAGGCTAACCGGGACTGCCTGTGGGATGTGGGGAAGCTCGAGACAACTGCTGCTAGCCGTATGAAGGACATGGAGGCAGCGCTGGAGGACTTCGCCAAAGACCCCGACAAAGACAAGTTCTCGAGCGAGATCAAGACTGTGAAGAACCGCCTCGAAGCGCTGGGCCACGTGCTCAGCCTGGACCCCTCCAAGCTCAAGACGTGCCCGTCCGAAAAGGGGAGCGGAGGTGGAGGAGGCATCGGAAGTCGGAGGAGAGGGAGGCAGAGGTTAGGAGGAAAGGAGACCAGGATCGGCTAGAGGGATGCTGGATGCTGGATGTAATCTCTGTGAGAGTTGTTTCGGCCTTTGCTTTGCCCGCTTCCCAGGTACATCGCGAACGTGGAGACTGCTGCTGGCGCAGCAGACCGGATTGCCAGCGAGTCCTTGGACCGCAGCTCTATCCGATCTTCCCACGACACGAATCCGATCAACTCTGCTGGGCCATGTCCTCGGTACAAGGATCTGATCACCATCGCCCAGGCCAAAGGGAAGGTCGACTTCAACGATTGCCAGTCGGACGAGGACGTGAAATCCCGCAAGACTGAGATCTCCGATCAATACTCGGCCATCCCGAACTTGCTCAAGTTCTGTTCCACTGGCGTGAGCGACTTGTACTCTGCCCGCACTATGCTCCACAAGAGACGCACGTTAGAAGCGAAGGCGGCTGAGGAGGCGCGCAAGAAGCGGCAGAAAGAGGCGAATGCTGCGAGCGGCGCTGGAAACGGGCCAGCGACCAAGAAGGCAAAACAGTCTCAGATTCAGACCTATCCCATCTTCGACGTCGACCTGCCTGGAGGCCGTGACATGTTCTCCATACCGAACATCCCCATCGATGCCCTGGTCGCGTTCGCAACGAAGCACGACGGCGACCTCGGCACCAGCCCTTGTGATAGCATTGACCCTGAAAAGCCATTGCTGTTGCCCTTCCACGTGTCGCCTGCCCACTTGGAGTCTCGGGTGGGCCGCGAGCGGAGCGAGATGCAGTTCGACAACCAGGAGGAGCAGGATCGTTGGGAGGAGAGTGCGACTTCTTTGAATAAGGGCACGGCGACTTTATCTGAGGAGATTGAGGGCTTCAAGGAGGAGTTCCGCGCCTCGGACCTGAGGCTTACGATAGGCAGGGCCGTCAGCCCTTTGCCAGACGAGGAGTGCGAAACCGTCGTGATGGATTGGTTCCTCAACTACTGCCAGTTGGACAAAGCCGGCTTCCGGAACGTGCCCGCGCCGAAGGCTGCGGAGAACCGCCAGCTCTACAATGTCGCGGGCCTCGGGTGCTTTGCCATCGCAGCGGGCGTGCAGGACTGCCGGGTCGAGCCCTCAGCTTTACCCACCTTGCGGGGGCAAGTGGGTGGCACGCGAACCATCGTTGCGTGCAGGGTTGACGAGGTCATCTCGTTCCTGGTGGAGACGAAGGGGCAGAGCGACGTCACGACGAAAATGTCCATCGAGTTCATCAAGTCTGCAATTGCAGCAGACGTCGAGGACTGGACATCAGGGCCCCAGGGCCTTCTGGAAGCCTCCTGAGTCGTAGATCCCTCTTTCCTGCTTTCCTCGCCTCCGACCCCTCCGCTTCTCTCCTTCACTAAGTGCGACTCTTTCCTGCTCACGTCTCTCCTCTCGCAGCCCTGCTCTTTTAGGATGGGAAGCTAGCGGGCGGGGGGGTGGCCCCATGGCTTCTGCCACTTTGCCCCCCGCCCGCCCCCCGTCCCGAGTGAGCGCGGCTAGGAGAGGGAGGCAGATGGGATAGAGCGGCACTGCTCTCGGCCCTCAGGACTTCGTGAACTCTGGCCGCATGATGTGGTGGGGAACGGTCGGCCCCTGGGAGGCGATCTACCTCCCAGCAGGCTCCATCTGCGCAGAGCGCATCAACAACGGCGAGGACTGCTACGGCTTCAAACTGTCGCTCTTCAACGCCAAGGACTCCAAGGCGCTGGACATCATGAAGAAGTACGGGGATGAGATCGAGTCCGCGACGGGCAGGCCCTCGGAGGCGACGAAACAGGCCATCAAGTTCGTGAATGAGGTCAGGAGCTTCGAGGCCGAAGCCGCTGCTGCGGTTGTGGGCGCGGCTCCGCCCACAGGAGATGAGGATGTTCAGGATCAGGAGGAGGCCGAGGGTCTCCAGGGAGCCTCTGGCGGTGGCGGCCCGGAGCCTGTGACGATTCAGGTCGACGAGTAGGCGCCATCCGCTTGGTAAAGTTAGGTTTGAGAGAGGGGGCGCGCCGCGCGCCTCGCAAGGGCCCATACCGAGGCCTTCGGCTTTAGCCGCTTTCGCCACCGCCTTGAATTTGCTAATGGGGGGCCCTCTGAGGGCCTCTTGGCCTCGGAGCTCGGGACCTCTTCAGTACTTTTGGGGGCCAGTAGTCCTGTAGTCATATCCTAGAACAGACCCCAGAGTATCCGTATCATTTTCAGCGCCCGTGGCAATGACGACCATCAGGCCCGTTAGTGTGTCCTTCGTGGGGTCCCTCTTCGGAGCCCTCCAATCCCTCAGGCTGTTGGATACCTCTTGAGAGCCCAACTAGAAGCATAGCGGATGCTTTTCAAGGCCTCCTCGAGATTCTTAGTGAGGGCCCAGGAAGTATCCTCAGGTCAGCCAGTCACTTTACGATCTCACGGCTGTGGTCCTTTGGAGTCCTCCGAGGGGCTGGCAGATTTTCCGATTGGCTCGAAGAGGTGTTCGGCGGTTGCGCAGCTGACAGGCTTCCTGTCAGTATGGGAAGTGAACAAACAACCGACGTTGTGCAAATCAAAACAACGTGAGTCGAACTTCAGATCTCCAGTGATAGTGAGGGCCATCGTCGGCGGCGACGGCTTAAGCAACGACATTCACCCCATCCCGTCCTCGCCCGATTCCTCCTTTCTCCTTCGCTCCCTCCGGCCATCCTCCCCTCCTGTCCAACGTTCTTCTAAGTCCTTCGTCCTCCCTCTTCCTCGCCGTTCCTCCTCTCGTGTTTTTTTTTGTTGCGAGTGCACAATGCGCTTACGATAGCCGTAGGCGGAAGCCGTGAAACCTCTGGCAACAAAGTGGTAGCGAAGCTTAAGGCAAGTGTCATAGAGGTAGCGGAACATATAGCCTGACGCAAAAACTGACTTGCGCATTCGCGAGAATGCCGCTACTCCTGATTCTCGTCCCCTCTGGCTTTTGGGCTTGCCCAAACGCTGATGTCCGAGACTGCTGGGCCGCCGCGGAGCTATTTCGAGGGATCCTGGATTGACTGGCGAGGCATCGTCACTTGGAAGAGCCTGGAACTGTTCATGCTGGTAGGAAATCAACGGTCTGTGCCCTCGCGGGGCACGTTTTGAACTTCGCTGGCCTGCATGGCCCCCGCCAAACACCCAGGGTGAAAACCTACACTTGGACGTAGTCAGCGTGTCGCGCCGAAACGTGGTGGGCTAGAACTGGCGGCGCGATACGCGAAGCAAACACTCCTGACCGTACTTCGGGGGACCGTGCCATACTCGGGTCTCGGATAAGAGAGCGGCGGGCAGATGCGATGTCCGATTGCTGTCGGGCGTGAGGGGCGTCATGAGCAAATGTCGCTAAAGGCAATGGCCGATTGAGAAAAGAGCAGCCGCGAAAGCTGAAGTTCGTGGGGGTCCTGACCCGCACCGTTTCACGTGAAAGGCTGCGTGCAGCTCCGCTCTGGGGGGGATACGTCGACCGCCAATCGCCCATTCATCGCCGACTCGGGCCCGATAGTCCATCCCACCCAGAATATTGCGGATTTGCTGTCGGGGGCCTGTCGCCGATCTGTCGGCGATGTATTTCCGATTCCAGCTTGATGTTCCCCCTCCTGAGCCTGAGCCAATCCCCCCCTTAGCGTTCCCCCTCAAAGGGGGGAACCGCGACTCTTATTCGGACCACGGGCCTCTTAGAACATCGCGTCGCGAGAAACGAAGTGGCAAGCACGAGAGCCAGAATCAGACCTGCATGGGGCGACTCCGCTGCTGCAGAATCGCGCCCCGAAAAAAAAACGACATGCACGGCAAGCACAGGAACATGAGAAAATTGTTGCCTTGAACCTCGGAGCTGCCCTTTTCGAAACGACGTGCCGACCACCCCTGCAGCCCGCCCACCATGGCTGTGCGGTGCAAGCCCCGTCGGCTCTCATGAAACGAGTGCTCAGAACCCCCCCTGAATCCGACGTCACGAACGAACATGCAACATCGTAACACAATTCGAGTGGGGTCCTGGAACCGACTTGTTGGTTGTATGTTTCGGGCCGTATCGATATGTGATGGCCCTGGTGCCTGAAACAATGCACAAACGGCCGATGTGCAAAAACGCGACGCCAAGATGTCAATGTCTGCCTCTGTTTCTACGTATGACCACCTCTGGAAACCAGAAACCTTTGACCCAATAATATTGGCGTCGATCGCGTTTACCTCCGCCGCGTTCCGCCACACCCCCGCCGTTTTACTTTTGCTCGGCTCCGCCGTCCTTCCGCAAAGGGGGTGGGTGTGCCAAGCGCGAAGCCTTTTGTTGGAACGCCGTATATCAAAGCGCGCCACCCGTAATTGAAAATTGCTACGCTCCGCTTCCAACAGGCGCATCCATGGTCGCTGCGTGCGACTTCTTGCAACTAGCTCGTGCCGCAGCAGCATGGCGGTAAGAGCTTGGGTTTCAATTGTGACGCGAAACTTTCAATCTTTCGCCGTCTCGGGTGTCGTGTTCATTGGGGGATGTGGGTGCCGTCCTCGCCTTTCGAAATGGATTTCGCGTCGTGAATCGAATTTCGGCTTGTCCTTCGGCCTGGGACGCTCCTCGCCGCAGCGTTCAGTCTTCGCCGCCCGCGGCGGCTGCCGACGCGCTGGGGTGAAACGAACTCAGCACGTTGTTATGGGCGGGACGGCGGGACTTTTGCTTAGCGCGTCGCCGCGGCGGCCCGCCCCAACGACGCGGTACGCCTTGTGGCTGGCAAGCGCGTCGCTTTATTCCGCAGGGCCGGGGGCTCGGAAATGATTGGGGCGCGGACGCTTTGGGGACCAGGATATGGATATTTTGCGTGGAAGCAGGAAGCAGGAAGTAGGAAACGCTGCGGGGGGCGCCCTGCCCCTACGCCTGGGAAGGCGTCGGGCCCGCTAACTTCTTGGAGCAAAAACACTAAGACTGCCAGCGATTGTGGGGGCGCCCAGTCAGGCGGACACCATCGGGATCCCTGTCGGCCGCTCACTTCGACCATCATCGGTCGCCGCACTGGTCAATCTTGTCCAACGACATGTTGGATCCAATTTACCCAGGACCCGGCATCCACGCCTCTGTCTGCCAACTCGTAATACTTTCGCGGCATGTTCACGATATTTCGCATCGTTCTGCGGTTCTCCATTCTCAACCTGTGCTCCCTTCCGGTTTTCATTGTCTAGCACCCGCTGCCGTAATGAAAAATTGACACCACAACAGCATTGAACAATCGTAATCTGTACGTCGACGGGTAAAGGTTGTTGGCGAGCTTTGTTTTGTACATGCCGAAGGCGGCCCAACCCTTGAAAATTAGATTCACAATCTCCTGGTCGTGGATGTCACTAAACGAAATCCGTCTCCCAAGATACACCGCAACACCGTCATATGGCGGAACCTCGACAAGGCAACCGCCGACTGGAATGCCAGGTTGGCGAAGGACGGTGTTGCGGCACTCCATATTCGACCGAATCCCAGTCTTACCCATATGCAGTTTCAGGCCAGGTGCTTCTCCGCATGCTTGCAAATCTTCGAGCATGCGCCTCACGTGCGCCCGCTTGGTTCCAAGTAACAGCACGTCACCCGCAAACTTGAGATTCGTCCAGAAAGCATGGCTTGTGCGAGCGCCAATCCAGCACTGGCGCCACTTCGTCTTCAGCCGCCGCATCAGGTGCTCCAGAACTGTATTGGATAATGCTGGGCTGAATGGGTATCCATGCCGAGTGCTACGGTCCAGCTTGTAGGTGCGGCTTGCGCGATCGGTTGCCATCTGTGCGGCCTGTTGAGTGTAAAGGCACACAAGTACCTTGATATACTGTTCAGGCGCATGCTGCTCACGCAAAGCTTCCCACATGGCCTCGTGGGTGACATAATCAAAAGCCTGTTCAAAATCAGCTGCGGCTGTCCATGGAGGCGCCTGATATTCCCGCATTTTCTCTTGCAACAGCACGAGAGTGAATAGTTGGACCTCGCATCTGAAACTTCTCGGAAACCAGCTTGGTCAACTGATTGTTATTGCTCCAGATACGGATGTATGCGGCTATTGAAACATAAAATTCGAAACCTTGTACACGATCGGCAATATTAATATGGGGCGGTAGTTCTGCTTCCCAGCGTGTCGCGCCGAAGCGTGGTGGGCCAGAGCCAGCAGTGCGACACGCTAACCAGAAAGTCCTGACCGCAACCTCCCCCCAGAAACCAACAATTACTCAATGTTACGGCAAAGCCCACCTGGTCACAGCTGCTCGCAAGGCCTGGAAACACGTCCACTGCGGTGAACCTTGCTTTACGCTGTCCTTCCCTCCCCCCAAGCACAGATGGACGTCAACTGCACACCAACACCGATCCAGGGCCCAGGATCGGCCCAGCCAGGACAGATGTTGGTATAGCTGGCGCACTTCCCCCCAGACATCCGATGACTTGATTTGTTTCAAAGACGGGGTCGCCTGATGTCCCGACCCTTTCTCCACTGTCGGTTTTTCACCCCGCGGTGTTTTTCGTCGGCAGTGGAGCCCGAAAACGGCCCCTGGAGACCGAAAAGGCGAACAACAACTCCGTCTTGATTTTGCCTCAAGGCGTCGGAGGTATGGGCCCGAGAGCAGGCGTCTTCCCCGTCGTCGGCGCGGCTTGGGGTCCCAGCGCCGCTAGGCCTCCCCGGTGACGGCGACGGCGACGCGCCTAGAAGAAGAACAATAATCTGCACAACAAGCTTTCGGAGATCCGCGCGGATTTCTTGGATCGGCGCTGGGCCAGCCGCCCTGGTGCGCGGCCTAGCCATATGATGAGTCTTCCCTGAAACCCTGGCGTCGAAATCTTTTCCTCGACGGGCGATTCTGCCTTGTTTCTGGCCCCGGGATCCTCACACATCGATCCCGATCGCAACACGCACGGGGTCCAGGGCTCCGGGCCGAGTCGTTTCACGACGTTGCAACTTTTTCAGGACGTCGGACCTCGAAACCTCACGACGGGCTTCGGCGCGAGGCGGGGCGGCCCCCTCGATGGCGCACGGGGGGGTGGGGGCTCCTCACA